AAAAGAGACATTCAAACACATCAGTCGAAACAAAAAACTGACAATGTAAAGGCAAAAAACGAAAATGATCAAAGGACAACACTATATATATACAGAACGAAAGACTGAGCAACATGAACCCCGTCAAAACCGTTGGTGATCTCGGAAGGGGGTAGAAAGATCCTGCTCCATATGTAGCACCCGTCGTAATTGCTCATGTAAGTACAAACCAAGTGATAAGTCTAATTTGGTAGATGACATTCGAGGAAAAGATAATGTGATTGTAGTTACGACAATTGGAACATATCCTTCGTCATCTGTGAAATAGATATTCCATAACGGTTAACCAACACCACCACTTGTTTCTATCCATGGAAAGATCCACTATCAACGTATATTTTGGATCTTCCCATGGATAGAAACAAGTGCCTTGGTTAAACAATTTGCGATGGCGTCCGTAAAATTTTCGAAGGGATAATTTCGCCATTTGGAACTCTTGGTTTAATAGCTTCCTTGTTAGCAGCAACTTTCTGTCAAGGAAATCATAAAAGAAAAGGCGAGCTCTGGAATATCGTATCAACTTGGAGATACATATTCCATATGCAGGCGCTGCTGGAATATTGATAAATAGAAAAAGTAAAATAACAAAACAAAAAAACGAACTCCAACGAAAATTCAAAACGGAAAGTCCCTTATCAAATGACAAAATCAAAAACTCAAGCTGAATTACTTAGTGAGTGGATATCATCTATACAGTGGAACTTCACCACTTGGAACTTCTGGTTTGATAACTTCTTTGTAAGCAGCAAAACGTTATCAAGTAAATCATGATAGGAAATGCAAGCTCTGGAAAATGGTATCAACTAGGAGATATATCCTCCATATGCAGGCGTTGTTGGAATTTTGCTACATAGAAGATGGAAAGTTCACAATTGGAAAGCTGAAATCATCTCTCTTGTCGTAAAGTTTTGTCCTAAACCGCGGCCCTCATTATAAAAATAAGGGAATGTGGTATGATTGCCAATAAGACACCTATCTACCAGAGTTCAAATGAAGTAAATATAAGAAATTATAGGCAACCGTGCGGCCTTCAACACTGAGAAAACCCCATACCGTATAGTCAGTTTTTAAATGCCCAAACATGAAAAATGTGAAACAATTAAAAACGAGAAAACTAGAGGCCAAAAGTTGATAACAACAAAATTTACGAAAAGCACATATAACATACATGAACCAACGACTACACCTGAACTACAGGCTCCTGATTTTGGACAGACTCCCAAAGAATGTGGCGTGGTTAAACATGTATGCGAGTGCTCAATCCTCCCCTAACCTGGGACGGTGGTGTAACAGCACAACATAAGACTTACTGTACGAGAAAATAAGTATAACAAAAATACCGAACTCCAAGGTAAATTAAAAAAGGGGGTATTCATATAAACTGACGAAATCAAACGTTATCAACCAACGGAACGAGTGAAAAACAACTGTCATACTAGTATTCCCGACTTAGCCAGTACAGACATTGTCAATTTCTAGATGTAAGTGAAGATTTGAGGCAGACTTAACTGTATCTGGTGTATCCTTAAAAAAATTTCAAGTTCGATGGGATAGATTCATTCAACATAGTCGCCACTCTTTGAATTATCTAATGAGAGCACATCATCTATGTATGGAAAGTAAAGTAAAAGGAAAATAGTCCAAGGCCACCAACTGGTCTTCAACGCAGTTAGAAAATCCCGCATCCAGAGGCGGGCTTCAGCTAGCTTCGTTTCATTCTTCTTAAGAAGCTCCTGCATGAATCCAGCCTCATGTGAATAAAGGAACAAGTCGGCAAGAAGAGGAGCACAGTTGGTTCCCATGCTAATACCGATAGTTTGTTGAAAAAACACGTCCGCCAAACGTAACAAATATGCTGTCAATCAAGAAATCAAGCATCTTGATAATATCAATTTAAGAGAGTCGTTTGTTTGAATCAGAGTTATTTTTTACAGACAAAGCAATGTTGTAGTGGTATGATGTAAATACTACACGGAAGTTCTTAAGAATGAAAATATACATTCATCTAAATTCAAGAGAGAGGTTGTGCGCTCCACAGAGAGTCAAATAGTAAACAGTAAATAATCATGTCACTATCCCATCCCAACTTGAGGTCTTCCTATAATGGAATTAACTATTTTTGGAGTGTCATAAACTCTTTGGATGTTTTGGATAGATTACGTGCTTTTGATGGTCCCCAGTTGACAGTTATGATTTTTCGAATTTGTTCACTACACTACCACACAATCTTTCAGATCGTAAAATAACTTGCATTCGAATTCTATAGAGTAAGCGTTTTTTCTAAATAAAGGAAAAAATGCAAGAATACAATATTCTGTACATCGTTCATTTCTAAAATCTGAATTGTATTACCTAATTCTTTTATTTTCCAGAGTTATTCTTTATACTTTTTCATCGCATTAATATGGGTTGTTCTAAAATCAGAAACGAAATCGAAAAGCAACGAACAAAGCGAAACAAAACGAAACAAAACGAAATAAAACGCAACGAAAATTTGACAAAACAAAACGAAACAAACGAAAAATGAAATGACAAAAAGAAACGAAACGAAATATGAAATATATGACGTTTGGTAGACTTTCAACAATAAGGTTTCATACGTAAATAAAAAGTAACTGACAAGAAGGTCATCTAGCTCGTGGACAAACTGTTATACTATGTCACGTGCCTATCTTTTAAGTCTAAACCTTGAGAAAAAAACAGATTAGACATATTTCCAGAACAAAATTAAACAACACAACTTAATATTCTTTATAACTACAACTTTTCTTTCTATCCCCCCCCCCCTTTTGCGGGAAAAATTTGTGGGTTGATTATTTAGGGAATCACTGAAGCATGACTGGAGCGGGCCCCCTCTTTTTGCAGTCAGTGCCCACTCCCCACCCCCCCCCCCCCTCCTTTATGAAAATTCATGGATCCGCCACTAGCAACAAAGCATAAAAAAGACATTCACAATATACAGAAAAAAAGTTTGATGTTTTATGAATATGCAATGACAAATCTCATCGCTGATGTTAATGCCACTCTAACGTGATTGATATACCGATATTTATGTTTGCTTAATGTACAGTGGCAAATGTTTCATGAATATTAAATGCAAGTTCATTCTGACAGTAAATGACTTCGGAGTTCCAACCTTATGAAGAAGAAGTCCATGTATATATCATCGATAGTAGAATTTTGATATCGATATTTCAAACAAACTTTAAACAACTTATTTTCGATTATAATTTTGTAAGATATCAGATGGTGGTTATCTGTTCCTTGAATATACTCACAAAAAGAGCAGTTCACATACCGCGTAAACATCGATTCAATGAAGTAAATTTTCTATATCGACAGTGATGATTAACTTTTGTCGGACTGTTATGGTGCCATAGGCGGATCCAGGGGGGCCCCCCCTTTCGTGGAAAAATTTGGTTGATTATATAGGGAATCATTGAAGCATGACTGGAGCGCCCCCCCCCCCCCCAACCCCTTTAGGTCAGTCAGCGCCCCCCCCCCCCCCCCCCTTATGAAAAGTTTTGGATCCGCCACTGGGTGCTAACATACGGGGTGTCGGAATATCGGGGTATCGGGGTTAAAACCATCGGTCAGTTGGGTTTGCCGGTAGATGTATTGTGAACAAAGAAAGAGATGATCATTTCAACTGACACGGGGAATTAAGGGGGGGGTCTTGTTAGCCCTCTCAATTCTTGTCAGATTTGTATGAAACTTATATCATTAGCAAAGTCTTTGACACTTTCGAAAATAAGTCAACAAATATTTTTAACCAGATATGACCCTTTGAAATATAAATTATAATGGAAATCCCATGATTGCATTTGCTCTGAAGCTTTCATTTCTCTTAAGATATAAGAAATAAAATTTAAAAGAAAAGTGTGTTTTTTGTTATTGCCCTTGTTCCTTGGATAGATAAAACTTAGATATGAGCAATGCAGGGGACTTTGTTCTTTTATTGAAAATAAAAATTAATATCTGTACCTAGATAGAAACGGGAATTTATAATCCTAGGAATGATCACACTCTATTACAAATCGATTTTTATCACGTCGTCTTGCATGTCACAGGAAACGATATCAGGATATCAGGATATGGTGGTTTATTTGTTAGTAACGTTGCTAGTCAGATGTAGAAGCCATCGCTCCGCTAGGCTCAATTTCAGATGAAACATGTCTGCGGGTCTGCGTATCATCATCCTCTGCGGTATAACTAACAAGATAATATACGTCCTTGCCGGCCCGAAGCCGACGACGTAGACTTTTTACGAAAAAAGTCGAGAACACTTTTCTGCGATTTATCCATCTTGTTTACATAAACTAAATTATCCTAAATGAAAGACCACGCATACTGCTTCAGAAATGATTGGAATTTATCCTCATATCCTCACCCTTGTTACATTTTGATACCTCCGAGTTTTAAGCAGTTAAAGTTTAACTGCTGAGAACACATTTTATTTTTTATTTGTCAAAATGATGTGGATGCTTGAGCATCTGAGCATACATGCAAGCTACGCCATTGACAGTTTGTCCGCGAGCCATTATAACTTAGATCAATCTACTTTCAGTTACATTCCACCAAGGAACATAATATGTTAATATAATAGTCCCAGATTCCATTTACCGTTTGAGACCTTTTTTTAGTAAGTCTTACAAACGGTCATATATATTTCGTTCCGTTTTGTCAACTTTTCGTTGTGTTTAGTTTCGTTTCTCTTGTAAGCACCATGTTATATATATATATATATATATATGGTTTATATTGTTTTTGTTGTTTAACCCTCAATTGAACCCCTAACAGTTTTCGTCTTGGGAACCTACAAGCCAGTTTAATCCGGTTAAAACCAGATAAGAACCTTCATCTCCTGAACTCAACTGAAAGCACAATTTTCATTGGTTTGGCAGTTTTAGCTGACCAATAGAAACAATTCTTATATCTAACATATTTTAATCGTGAAAAATTCCATAATAAAATTTGCGCAGAATCGTAAAAATATCGCAAGAAGACGGACGTAATTGAAAAGTTAAAAACTTGTTGCGTTTACAAGCCCAAACATTCTATTAGGATGAGGGATTTAGTGAACAGTGGACTAGACAATGAAAGTAATCAAAGATTTATTTGTGGTGCTGTGGAAGGTGCGTTTTTATCGCTAATTTAGGTTATTTTAGAGAAACCGACATTCCGCCATCTTGAAATTTATAAATATATGGTCTGGAAATTTACCACTAGGAAAATTTAGAGCTGATTCCTGAGTGTCTACGATTTTTTTTATGATTCTGAGTTATTCTGTAATAGATAGGAAATATGTTATAACACAAGAAAGCTATGAACAACAATGAATTACTCATTATGGAGTTTCCGGGGCTCCCCAAGGGAAACATTTATATTTGAAACTCCGTAAAGTCTTTATTACTCATAGAGAGAGGAAAGCAATTGGATATTTAAACTCTTCAATAGAATCCGGTCAAACCTAGCTACCCTTATCTTTAGTCTCTTTAGTGATTCTAGTTACTAGTAGTTAGATTTACTGATTATATTTGGTCGTAGACTCTTGAGTCTAATCTTGTTAAGCGTCATGATTCTTGTTGGCACCCAGCCATTTACTCTGATCGTTATAAAATACCAAATCTAAGCCTTTATCATGACCTTTTAATATTTCAACTATTTAAGGTTCATTATATCAAACTGACAATAATGGCTGTTTACATTTTGAAATTTATAATTATTTGATAGTTGATACAAAATAGTGCCGTAAAGTGATCACTGTTTTTCCTATCCAGTCAATTCATTTAATTTATCTATGATGTGTTATTATTAGATGTTCAAGTTTTAAGACAAGCTTATTTTGAATACCATACTTTTTTTTTTTTTATTAAAAATTCTCAAATAGTAATGCATGGTGTATGAATCTTATAAATTATTATATATTACCACCTTCAAATGTACAATCACGAACAAAGGAAGATAACTCAAATTTACAATTTGTCTTCCAAATACAATTCACTGTAACATAAGTGTTTTATTAGAAATTCTCAAAATTGCAAAATGAAAGCAATCTCATCCTACTGTGGTCACTAGCGCTTTGATTTCTTCCCTGTAGAAGGTGTAAAATTAAAGTTGGGTTACCATGGTATTGTATATCTTCACAATGATTAATGATTTTAAGGGTGTACCAGAGTGGACAGTATTAAATGTATTCGGGTGTTAGTCATCTGCAGTGATGATAAAAGAAGTCCATTAAATTCTAAAAACTATATTATTCTAAAACCCAAATTTCATCTGATTTATATATACATTGTATTAAGCAGGTTGGGGACAAGTCAGGAAATGTGGGGTATTCCCTGTTTTCAGGGAACACCCCAGTTTTCTGGTGTTAAAAAACCCCAGTTTACAGGGACTTCCTTTTTCTATTTCAATTTAAAGCATGAAATCTACAAAAGCGCACATTTTAACTGCGTCAGTAGTATTTGTAAATACTTAAAGTATTTCAGGAACAACAAAACATGAATAAGTGAAGCCATGTTTTTTTGTAAAACTCAAAAACATACAAATCTTTTGTTTAGGAGTCAATTGACCAAGTTGCATGCTCCAGGTGTAACTGACCATAACTGAATTATAATCACTTCTATTGAAAATTTCTATTCATTGAATTTAAATGCCCAAGTGATTAACTTATCTTGTTGTCATCTCATAATTGATGATCAAGGTATGAATTGGTGAACAAAGGAATTGTTTTGTTGTGAGTTGAGCATCAAATTAGACTTGAAATAAGCTTGATTTTTGAACTAATAAAAACACTTGCTATCATGAAGCATTGTTATCACATGTAGAATGTGCGCTTTTGTAGATTTCATACCATAAATTGAATAGGAAAAAAGAAGTCCCAGTATACTGGGGTTTTTAAACACCAGAAAACTGGGGTGTACCCTGAAAACGGGGAATACCCCACTTTTCCTGACTTGAGCCCAACCTGTTAAGTGGTAGTCCAAATAATTATGATATCTTGAAATGCTATTTTAATTTTTGCTACAACACCTTTCTACAATGTCTTACGGCTGAAGCCATTTTTATATGACTGGACTTTGAGACCTAATTTCTTCATGAAATCTTTAAGACTGGATACATGTATTTTTTCATATCTATTCAATTCATACCTTTTGTGTGCTTGTTTATGGTGCAAAATATTTACAGAAATAAATAAAATATATGCTTCATTACAGTTTAGTCCATGATTTCATAATTCCCTGAAAAGAGGATAGTGTAAATGAGACATGGTGTCATTCATTTATGACTACATTATGGATTCATTCAGGAACAAAAAGTTGCAGCTGAATCATTTGTTAAAGGTTACAACTTTTTATTTTTGTTTTAAAGGGTTTTATGGTAGACCTTGGAGTTCAGATCAGAGGAAGCTTTTATTCAAGTGGTAAGTTTTTTCAAATTTTGCATTGTATTTAAAAGTTTAGAAAAGAACATAGATGATGATCAACTTTAATTAAGAAAAGTTTCAATGTAAATTTAGTTGCCACGCATAGCTGTTATAACACACATGTTTATGTACTAGTTTAGACAAGAACACTCACCAAGTGACTTATTAAAAAGTGCATATAATGAATATAAGAATGGGGATCATGAAGACAACTCCTGTAGTGTTTCCTGCGGGATGTTTTGGCGTGGTATGGCGACCTCCCATGTTTTCTGGATGCTCTGCCCTTTCTAGGAAAGAGATGTGGCGCAATGTCTCTTTTCCGTCGTATTTTAGAACGAACCGCAATAATTTAATATTGGTTTTGCAATTCAACTTTCAGCAAGACCATTTCGAGTTATTTCCCTTGGAACAAAAATCAAAAATTTAATGGCCGACATTTTATTGAATTTCATTATGTTTGAGTGAACAGTTTTGAAGCGAAAGATTACAAATACGACTCATGACTGAATCTAATAGGGACAACATCAATTTATACCTCTACGAATTTAAAATGTAGACTATTTAGAAGGGAAACAGGTGATTGAGTTATTATTATACAATGCATGGGATGAACATTACCACTGGCACAGATAATTACGTAAACAATCTGATGTTTGTTTATATTTTCTATTTATCTTATTCGGTCGGTCAAGACGTTGAATTGGATGTGAATTTACTACGACTTTCATACTGTTGTTATCTTAATAAAATTAAAGTTAGGAATATAGCTGATAAAGTTTTGAATAATCAGTGATCGGGAAGGACGTGCACTTATTGCGCTTTTCGACCATAAATGTCGCATATGGTGACAAATGTAAGCGCCCACATGGCGCACGATATTTTTCACTTCGTTTTTAAACTATAGATATTGTAAAATGGAATTCCGATCGTGAATCGTGTGTACAAATCTGTGTAGTGTTCCCTCCAATGATAGCACCACCTATTGATTTTTGGGACGTCTCAGGCGTTTTTCTAGGGTAATAATAGCAACATGCGGTATAACTGATTACCCAAAATACGTAATAAACCATCATTCATGATATAAATTTTTATAAACAACTTTAAATTTGTGAAATTTGGCTAGTACAGTCGAAAATTTTTCTCTAATTATAATCTTTTAAGTAAGCTTGCTATTATTTCGATTGAAAAACCCAAAAGCCTTTTTATGAATGTAGTATTTGTTTCCATAAAAGGCGCTTATCTGTCCTTGTCAATTTTTTGGTCTTTAGCTCGTTTGAACATTTTGTAAACATGCCTTCAGCAAATTGTTGTTGTGTCTTATCAATTAACGTTACTCTCTACTGTTATTCTTGTCTTCAATGGACTAATAATAATACAAGACGTGCAGAGGAAACGCCAGAAACGTCCTCTAATCTGGAACGTCTGGAATAAAGTATGGCAATCGGCGAAGACCCAAATTTAATGTAAAGAAAAACATGAACATGAACAAGGCAACAGTACCAGTTGTGAATAAAGGTTATCGTAAATATTGCCCGGTTTGGGAGAAATTATTGTATAATCATTGAAATTGAAATTACAAAGCACAGGAACAATATCCATGATATCAATTAGAATCATACAGGCACTGCCTCGTTGCTGAAATATACATTTTATTTTTAAATTATTTATTGTAAACGAATGGCCCACTCATTTGACAACATGGCCCATTGAATTTATTTTATGGGAGCCCTGGGCCCATAGAGATAAAATCCTTCCAGATCACTGAATAATACAAAGAGCAAACAACGTTTCAATAAAACTAAAAAAACACACTTACAAACACAGATGGAAAAAAAGATGAAAAGCAGAAGAATATGTATAGTAAGTCTTGCTATACAAATCTTTGAATATCCTTAAACTCTTTGTACAGTTATGAGCCATGGTAGCTTTGATTGGTATTAACAATCGAGATCCAAAAAAAAGTATTTGGCACTTCTTTTGTGCATCTAAAAGCAATGCATTGCTCTTGGTCATGCAAAGTCCACTTTCACAACTCATCCGTATACAATCAGTCTCGGTGAACCAGTATTAAAGTTTGTAACTGGAGTTATTGATTGAAAGGAGGCAGTTGCACAATGAACATGATCAAGATTATATTAGCTGAGTCTAGAAGTGATAATTTTATTACAAAAAGAATTAAATTAACAACCTAATATACATATCTTTATTTCCTACCAATAAATATGAAACAATGGTATATTCGATTAAATCCCTATTCATTACAGTGCCATTATATCTATGTAAAGAGTGCCCTAAATGTGTAGTCCTCTGCGCAAAGGGTGCCCTTAAAAGTGTCCTCTGAGAAAAAAATTACCCTGCCCTTTTCAAAAGCTGCAGGAAACACAAACCTGGTACTGTAATGTAAAATTATTCAGGCAAAAATTAAACTTTAACCTTTCAATTTGCAAAAATCTTAGAAAAATCAAATTTAAAGTACTAATAAAAAAACAACTAAAAGTTGATTTCCTTATTTTATGGAAAAGTATAAAAGATTCTAGACCTGATTACCAAGGCAAATAAGACACTTTAAATTTAAGTCTTGCATTCCTGTTTGAAAAAATATTTAAAAATAAGAAATAAAGGTAGTTGGTCAATGCTATCTTAATTCAGAACAAGTAATCATTTTCTAAGGGTAGAAACTGGAAGATGTGAGAGAAAATACAACTCTCTTGGAAAACTACAACCTTTACCCAGATGTGAATGGCTTTGTCAGTTCTGTGATTTAAACCAAGTAGAGGACGAGGTACATTTTTTATGCCCCTGTCGTACCGCAGGGGGCATAAGTTTTACCCTTGTACGTCTGTCACAAATTTGACCTTTATATGATGACTTTTATGTGTGTTCTCATGTACTGTATCTAATTAACATAATCAGAGCGAGAGGATTGAGAAAGATTGGTATGAAAGTGTGAATGATCGTAATGAATTTTGTAATGCCCAAAAGGGGCCTGTGATAAGAAAATAAAGAATTTATTTGTGGTTAAAATTGCATAATTTAATACAGAGAGCTTTGGGGCAATGACTTAGTGGTTTTATTCTTGGAATGTTGACCAGTGGTATTTTCAGTGATTTATATATTTTTGATTTGTCAGGTTGAAGAAGATGGGTTTAAACACCTACATGTATGCCCCTAAAGATGATTGCAAGCACAGAGCTTTCTGGAGAGAACTTTATTCAGTAGAAGAAGCTGGTAAGTTATTACTATATTAGTAATGAGCCAAAGTAAAGTTGGTCTATAAAACTATGAATTCAACTAGCTTGCACTTCCAGTTTCAGTAAAATTTTGAATGCTTTTAAGACTGCCAGAACAAAAACTTGCTTATTATACGACCGCAAAAATTGAAAATTTTTTGGTCGTATATTCACTGTGTATCATCGCCACCGGAAATTGGGTACTAACGAAGCGGAGAGAAATGGAAAAAAAAGTAAACAAGGTAAGAATTCATTCAATTTAAAGCATTTCTACTGATTTGACGAGGGTACCGCTTAAGAAATGATTTTCTGATATATAATTCTTTAAATTATTAGGCCGATAAGTACAAAATTAAGACAATATTTTGTGTTATACTCCAAAGCTTGCCACTTAGTACCTGAAAATTTCGAGGTCGATTGTCCTCTGTCGCCCCATTGGCAAGATATTCAACTGTTTTTCATTATTTTTCCAGACACGTTTTTAGATTATGATAGTGTGACATCATATTGACTGAAATCTGTTGTCATAAAGATGTTTTTAAAGAATATGGACCAAAACATTGTTTGTTTATTGTACGGCGAATTGCAGGACGTTGTACGGCGAATTGCAAAATAACAACTTTTGTCTGTACGGCGTCTTGCAATATATTGTAATTTAAAGATGAAATTAATCACTGTTTAGATAATATCAAGTGACGAAATTTTGGCTGTATCAAAGCTTTACCGGCTTACAAATATACAAAATAATCTACTTATCAAATATTATAAAATATATGCCGTTAATTTCGTTCAGAAGTCGTCGTTGCGTATACCTCTATTTGACTTTGTGTTTTTAAAGACAAAAAGTTTTTTTTCAACCATATTATCCTAAATACATTCATATATCGTTATAATACTAACGACTGTTGTCTTATTTGTTGTCAGGGTGAAATTTTGTAAGTTCAATAAAAAAAACCGACCATTCATCTTTTGTTGGTGCTGTTTTTTTTTTAAAATATAAACAGTGGAGATGTTGTATGATTGCAAATAAGATAACTATCCACCAGGGTCAAATAAAGTGTATGTAAGCAATTATATGCTATCGTTTGGCCTTCAACAACGAAAAATCGTACCTTACAGTCGGCTATAAAAAGCCCCGACATGAAAATTGTGGAAGGATTCAACAAGAAAACTAACGGCCTAACTCATAACAAAACAATTTACGAAAAATAACAAATATGATAGAGATGAACCAACGACAACCACCAAACTACAGGCTCGTGGCTTCGGACAGACACATAAAGAATGTGCTGGGTTAAATAGACATAGGAAGATGTGGTATGCGTGCCAATGAGACAACTCTCCATCCAAGTCACAATTTATACAGTAAAAGTAAACCATTATAGGTCATGGTACAGTCTTCAACATTGTTTATTGTTTATTTTTTAAATTTCTGAAATGAATAATTTGTTAATAGAAAAGTGAAGAAAATACTTTGTTTTCATTGAAAATTAGGAGAAATAAATCATGAATTGTGTTTCGAATTAATTTTCTTGTTTCTTATTGAAAATAAGATTGTATTTTTTTTAGTTTAATTAAATTCAATCAATCTTTTTATTTATTTGTTCTTTATTCTAATATATTGGCTGTATCTGCCTTTTACAAATAAGACAATAACATTAATTGAAAAAGGAGACGTGGAATGGTTTTCACTGAGAGGACTTTCAAACAAAGCCCAAATGAAATAGATTTGACCAACTATTGGTTACTATACACTTCACAATGAACAAAACCCATACCGTATCAAAATTGCCGGATTTATGACAAAATCAAACAAATATGTCAGGCAGCAACTTACGACAGCCGCTATATTACATGTTCCTGACCAGGGACAGACACATATATATTGAGGCGGGCTTAAACATGTTTGTGAGCACTCAAACCTCCCTTAACATGGTGCCGTGGTGTAGTAATACAACATTTTTTTTTTGCAGAGAATGATAATTCATTTATATTTCATTTTATCTGAAAGTTGAAAGAGAATTCATTCACTTAATGGTTCTAAATATTCAATGCGGAAAATTTCTCCTGCCATTACTTCCTTCCTTCCCTCCACCCACAACCCATCCCCGAAATGTTCATCACTTATATGCAAATGCTGACTAATGTTGTATGGTCAAAACATTTGGTTGAGGCAATCTAAAGTTTGAGAACAGAAGCGACAGCTTTAGCTTTTTTTTTCATTTATAAAAAGGCATAACTCAAGAACGGTAACAGTGACGCTACCCAATTTATAACTTGATCTGTGGTTTGTGGTGATAAGCATTTCGTGTTAGTTTTAAAACATTTGGTTTAGGCATACTAAAGTTAGAGAACGGAAACCAATTATTGGGACTTTCTGAACGGACGGGAGAGACGGGTCGGACGGACATGGGTAACATTTAACGCTACGTCAGGGCAGAACAACAGGTCAGTAAAACAGTGACATGCCTTTCCGAAAGTTACAACATTTGCCAGCTTTTGTATATGCCGTATTCATATTGTATACATCAGGTGTGTTTTAGATGTAATAGGACTGTGTTCAAGCCTTATATTGTGTATACATCTTAAATGGTGTCAAGCGAATTGTATTTTTATCAAATGCATAATTAGATATTTGAACCTAATACTTCATTTTCTTTAAAAGACGGCAAATAAATATTTTGAAATTAGCAAGTTGCCATACAGTTGAAAACAAGTTGCCATACAGTAAATTTGTCAACATGAGCAAGTTGCCGTACCCTAGACTTTATTTTTTATGGTCTATATTCTTTAAAAACGTTCATTTTGACAACAAATTTCAGTAAATATGATGCCACACTATAATAATCTAAAAAAGTGTCTGGAAAAATAATGAAAAACAGTTGAATATCTTGCCAATAGGGCGACAGAGGACGATCGACCTCGAAATTTTCAGGTACTAAGTGGCAAGTTCTTGAGTATAACACAAAATCTTGTCTTAATTTTATAATTATCGGCCTAATAATTTAAAGAATTATATATCAGAAAATCATTTCTTAAGCGGTACCCTCGTCAAATCAGTAGAAATGCTTTAAATTGAATGAATTCTTACCTTGTTTACTTTTTTTTCCATTTCTCTCCGCTTCGTTAGTACCCAATTTCCGGTGGCGATGATACACAGTGATATTGGTATGACTCCGGCGTCGTCCGAAGACACATTGTTTTTCGCACTCTAACTTTAGTTGAAGTGAATGGATCTCCATGAAATTTTACCATAAGGTTCAATACCACGAAAGGAAGGTTGGGATTGATTTTGGGGGTTATGGTACCAACAGTTAAGGAATTAGGGGCCAAAAAATAAGCATTTTTGTAACTTCCAGACAATAACTTGTGTGTAAGTGTATGGATCTCTCTGACATTGTACCACAAGGTTCCATATCACAAAGGGAAGGCTGTAATTGATTTTGGGGGTAATTGCCTCAAAATTTTAGGAATTAGGGGCCAAAAAAGGGGCAAAAAACAAGCATTTTTCTAGTTTCATGACAATAACTTGTGTGTAAGTGTTTGGATATTTCTGAAATTGTACTACAAGGTTCCATATCACAAAGGGAAAGCTGGAATTGAGTTTGTGGGTAATTGCCCGAAACGTTTAGGAATAGGGGGCCAAAAATAAGCATTTTTCTAGTTTCCAGACAATAACTTGTGTTCAAGTGTATGGATCTCTCTGAAATTGTACTGCAAGGTACCATACCACAAAGGGAAGGCTGGGATTGAGTTTGGGGTGATGAATCATAAGGGGGTTCAAAAAATTTGGGGGGGGGGGATTTTTTTTTTTCTTTTTTTCCTTTTTTTTTTTCTTTTAAAATTTTCCATTTTAAGTTGGTTATTTCTGATTAATATTTAAAAGCAAATAATAATGATATGGTAGGAGATACACACCAAACAGGATGTGTAAATTATTATATAATAAGTATTGTGCAATAGCAAGAAATTTTCAATTGCACAGTATTGCACAATTGCAAGAATTCTTCAATTGCACAGTATTGCGCAATAGCAAGAAATCTTCAATTGCACAGTATTGCGCAATAGCAAGAAATATCCAATAGCACAATATTGCGCAATAGCAAGAAATTGTCAATTGTACAGTATTGCACAATAGCAAGAAATATTCAATTGCACAGTATTGTGCAAAAGAAGATACTTCGTATAAATTGCTTATTTCTTGATCAATTTCAATGGGGTTTTATTCTTGAATTCTTGGGGTTCTTTAATATGCTGAATCTAACCGTGTATTAAGTTTTTGGATTTTGGGCCCCGTTTTTAAATTGGTCCACATTGAGGTTCAAAGGGTCCAAAATTTAACTATGTTTGATTTCATCAAAAATTGAATTATTGGGGTTCTTTGATATGCCGAATCTAACCGTGTATTTAGATTCTTAATTTTTGGTTCCGTTTTCAAATTGGTCTACATTAAGGTCAAAAGGGTCCAAAATTAAGCTTAGTTTGATTTTAACAAAAATTGAATTTTTAGGGTTCTTTGATATGCTGAATCTAAACATGTATTTAGATTTTTGTCGAGCCTTCGACTTTTGTCGAAAAAGCAAGACATAGCGATCCTACATTCCGGCGGCGGCGGCGGCGGCGTCCACAAATATTCACTCTGTGGTTAAAGTTTTTGAAATTTAAATAACTTTCTTAAACTATCCTGGATTTCTACCAAACTTGGACAGAAGCTTGTTTATGATCATAAGATAATATTCAAAAGTAAATTTTGTAAAAAAAAATTCCATTTTTTCCGTATTTTACTTATAAATGGACTTAGTTTTTCTGCCAGGAAACATTACATTCACTCTGTGGTTAAAGTTTTTGAAATTTTAATAACTTTCTTAAACTATCCTGAATTTCTACCAAACTTGGAAAGAAGCTTGTTTATGATCATAAGATAGTATCCAGAAGTAAATTTTGTGAAAAAAATTCCATTTTTTCCGTATTTTACTTATAAATGGACTTAGTTTTTCTGCCAGTTAACATTACATTCACTCTGTGGTTAAAGATTTTAAAATTTTAACAACTTTCTTAAACTATCCTGGATTTGTACCAAACTTGGACAGAAGCTTGTTTATGATTAAAAGCTAGTATCCAGAAGTAAATTTTGTAAAAAAAAAAATCCATTTTTTCCGTATTTTACTTATAAATGGACTTAGTTTTTCTGCCAGTTAACATTACATTCACTCTGTGGTTAAAGTTTTTAAAATTTGAACAACTTTCTTAAACTATCCTGGATTTGTACCAAACTTAGACCGAAGCTTGTTTATGATTAAAAGCTAGTATCTAGAAGGAAATTTTGTTCCATTTTTTCCGTATTTTACTTATAAATGGACTTAGTTTTTCTTCCAGTTAACATTACATACAGTCTGCAGTTTAAGTTTTTAAAACATTTATTAGATTCATAAACTATCCTGGATTTTTACCAAACTTGGACAGAAGCTACTTACAATCAAAAGATAGTATAGAGAGGAATATTTTTATTAATTTTTTTCCTCATTTTTGCTGAGCCTGTGATTAACAGCAAAAAGTAGGCGAGACACTGGGTTCCGCGGAACCCTTACGAATTTTTGATTACGGGACCAGTTTTCAAGTTGGTCCAAATCGGGGTCCAAAATTAAACTTTGTTTGATTTCAACAAAAATTGAATATATGGGGTTCTTTGATATGCTGAATCTAACCATGTATTTTGATTTTTGGGCCCCTTTATCAACTTTGTCCACATTGAGGTCAAAAGGGTCTAAAATTAAACTTTGTTTGATTTCATCTAAAATTGAATATATGGGGTTCTTTGATATGCTGAATCTAACCATGTATTCAGATTTTTTATTTGTGGACCCGCTATCAAATTGGTTCATATTGAGGTCAAAAGGGTCCAAAATTAAACTTTGTTTGATTTCATCAAAAATTGAATTATTGGGGTTCTTTGATATGCCAAATCTAACCGTGTATTTAGATTTTTAATTTTGGGTCCCGTTTTTAAATTGGTCTACATTAAGGTCCAAAGGGTCCAAAATTAAACTTAGTTTGATTTTAACAAAAATTGAATTCTTGGGGTTCTTTGATATGCTGACTCTAAACATGTGTTTAGATTTTTGATTATGGGCCCAGTTTTCAAGTTGGTCCAAGTTGGGGTCCAAAATTAAACTTTGTTTGATTTCAACAAAAATTGAATATATGGGGTTGTTTGATATGCTGAATCTAAACATGTATTTAGATTTTTGGCCCAGTTTTCAAGTTGGTCCAAATTGGGGTCCAAAATTAAACTTTGTTTGATTTCAACAAAAATTGAATATATGGGGTTCTTTGATATGCTGAATCTTACCATGTATTTAGATTTTTTATTTGTGGGCCCGCTATCAAATTGGTTCATATTGAGGTCAAAAGGGTCCAAAATTAAACTTTGTTTGATTTCATCAAAAATTGAATTATTGGGGTTCTTTGATATGCCAAATCTAACCGTGTATTTAGATTTTTAATTTTGGGTCCCGTTTTTTAAATTGGTCTACATTAAGGTCCAAAGGGTCCAAAATTAAACTTAGTTTGATTTTAACAAAAATTGAATTTTTGGGGTTCTTTGATATGCTGACTCTAAACATGTGTTTAGATTTTTGATTATGGGCCCAGTTTTCAAGTTGGTCCAAGTTGGGGTCCAAAATTAAACTTTGTTTGATTTCAACAAAAATTGAATATATGGGGTTCTTTGATATGCTGAATCTAACCATGTATTTTGATTTTGGACATTGGACCATAATAGGTAAATTAAAAAAATTGAAGTTCTTAGACCACATTCTTTCTGTGTCAGAAACCTATGCTGTGTCAAATATTTAATCACAATCTAAATTCAGAGCTGTATCAAGCTTGAATGTTATGTCCATACTTGCCCCAACTGTTCAGGGTTCGACCTCTGCGGTTGTATCAAGCTGCGCCCAGCGAAGCATTTTATTCTCTGTTGTAATGACAATTGTGACTGGTATAAATGCAAGATATCCTGACTTGTATGCATTTGATAATTTGGATATAAATAGAGAGAGGAGATGAACATTATTATGATCAATTCCCTCAATAACATGTTTATCATATTTTTATGCCCCCGGCATAACTGAGGTCATTAAGTTTTGCCCTTGTCTGTCTCTACATCCGTAGTCCAAAAATTGGTTTCCGTTCTCTAACTTCAGTTTGCCTCATCCAAATGTTATGAAACTTGTACACAATGTTTATTACCACAAAACTCAGATCAAGTTTCAAATTTGGGAAGTGTCACTTTTACCGTTCTTGGGTTATGTCCCGTTATAATGTATGCAAGCGGGGGCATCATCTGTGTCCCATGGACAAATTCCCCATTCATTTGTTGTCTGCACTATGTGGCAAGCTCAAGAAGACAGATCATGGTAGGAAATCATTGCAAAAAAAACGAGTACCTGTTAAAATTTGGACAGAATGTAAATCATCAACAAGTTTTCAATTTTAGATTCTTGGTCAGTTGTAAAATAACATAAAGGAACAAAAAAAATGTTAGTATAAAAATATGATTTATATATTTTAGATAATTTAACCAGCTTGATTCAGTCAGCCACAGAAAACAATATAGAATTTGTTTATGCAGTGTCTCCTGGACTTGACATTTCTTTTTCTAGTGCTAAAGATGTACAGTGCTTAAAAAGAAAATTAGAACAGGTAAAAGCAGTTGTAATTCAATTTCAAATACATAATTTATTGATGAGAATTATAGTTTATATATATATATATATATCTAAATAAGGACATGTGGTATGAATGCCAATGAGACTAATATCCACCAAAGTTCAAATGAAATGAATGTAAGCAATTACAGGCAACTGTATGGCCTTCAAAAGTGAGAAAACCCCATACTGTATGATCGGCTATAAAAGGCCCTGACATGAAAAATATTAAGCAATTCAATTGATAAATCAATTTACGAAACACAAATATGACAGACAAGAACCAACGACAACCACTGAACTACAGGCTCTGACTTAGGACAGGCACATAAAGAATGTGGCCGGGTTAAACATGTTTGTGAGCGCTCAACCCTCCCCTAACCTGGGACAGTGGTGTAACAGTACAACATAAGATTAAACTATAAAAATCGGTTGAAAAAGGCTTAACTCATCAGATGGATATAAATAGAAATACAACTAACAAAGCCACTGACAACTAATAAATAAAATCATGTATCTTAAGACTAAAATATCAATCAGTTCACATCCTACATCCAATGGATTGAGTGTAAAGACGTCATTAACTGAGAAAAACATGACCTTGTGCAATGCCAAACCATAGGTATCAATAGATTGTATAACTATGAAAGTAAATATGTGTAATATTTAGTATGGTTTTACTGATAACAAATCAATATTTATACCAATAAAAACATTATTCAAAGTTTTAATTACAGTGTTGAATAGGTAACCTTTTAGAATAAATTTATTTAAGGGATTGATAACTTTACCTAGATCGTATTTAAATTTCCTGGCTCGGTTTACATCACCTTAAAATTAAGGATGTGCTATACCGTTTGAAATAGGTTTTCTACAGGTACAGCCAAACTTGCAGACCAAATCTTTGTATGTATGGAAGAATTAAGTAAAGGTTTTAGGTTTGTGGTAACGAAATCCCTGACTTAATAATTTACTAGTTATACATAGATTACGATCATCGATATCCAAAACGTCACTACAGACACCAGCATAGTGAACGAGTTGGGATATGTAAACACCGTAAGATGGTGCTACAGGGACATCACTGTCCAAAAAGGGAAAATTAACAATAGGGAAAGATATACACGTATATATATTTACCTGGCTTCCACAGAATAAAAAAAAAATCTTTGTACACCAAACCTGGGCAATATGTGTTGCTTTTGACGGTGAAGAAAAGTGAAATGATAAAGGGAAGACAACTTCTTTGTGCTCATTACAACTTGATGTGCCCTGATTATTGTTTGGATCTTCAATCAACACATTTTATTTCGCCTGGTAGTGTTCTAATGTATCATTTTCAAAATAATAGAGAAAAAAAAGATAAGAAGGGGGGAGATATATTTTTCTGACTCTAACTAATGAAACATTCTTTTCAGGTTTCTACTTTTGGCTGTAAAGCATTTGCTCTCTTGTTTGACGACATTGACCCAGAACTAAGTGAATCCGACAGAAGTATGTTTACTTCATCAGCTGCAGCCCAAGTGTCTGTTACAAATGAAGTTTTTCAGCATTTAGAACAACCACACTTCTATTTTTGTCCAACAGGTAAATATTACAATACAAGTATGTAATACACACAAAAACATTTTTGCATGCTGCAATAATATTATCTTGAACTCAAAACTTGTGGTCATTTGTCAATGGATGATTGAAAATCAAGAACTTTCAACCCTTGGATGTTGTATGGGCATGTTCTATCAATTTGGATGGTACATGACTATAAACTATTGCTCCAGATTTTACTAAAATGAACAAATTTTGCTTAAATATTAACTATTTGTATGTTTTTTTTCATCATTGACAAATTTAGAAATGGCTTTATAAAATTATTCCATTTTAATGCTACTTGACTGTGGAGTGTAATAATGTCCTAAATTTCACCACCATGTCTGGCCTTTAAAAATAATTTCAATTTGATTTCCAGAGTATTGTTCATCAAGAGCTTTGCCAACCCTATCATCCTCAGAGTACCTGAATACTGTTGGATCAAAGTTGCTGTCAGACATAGAGATCCTCTGGACAGGTATATATTAATGGTCTAGTGCAGAGTTTCGTTATTGTCCTTCCCTTTGCCTATATCACAGTTTAATGTCTTATTAACAGTAAATCTTTTCATGAAATACATTTCAACATTTAAAGAAAGTTGTGGTTTCAATAAGTAATAAAGGAATATTAGTTAAATGAAAAATTATCTAATATTTTAATATTTTTATGACTTCTTTTGTTTTAGGTGTAAAAGTTGTCAGTAAGAAAATGACTATCAAACATCTAGAAGAAGTGACTGCAGTTTTTCGCAGACCACCATTGATCTGGGATAATATTCATGCTAATGATTATGATCCTAGAAGAATATATCTTGGTGCATATGATGGCAGATCACCAGAGATTATTCCATACCTAAGAGGAGTACTGACAAATCCAAACACAGAGTTTGAATCTAATTATGTTGCTTTACATTCTCTTGGTCAGTGGTGTAAATCAAATACCTCTGGTGTCAAAAAAGATGTTATTTTTGGTAAGTTAATGATGACCTTCTTTAAAGTGATAAATAATAATCCCTTGGTCTAATTATCAACATTTTACCACTCAGTTAAATTCTCTGGAAATTCAGTTCTTGACACACATTTAATAACACCTCAAAGTTTTTACATTAAATTCAATATTGAACAGTCTTCTGCTCTTCAAAAAAGCACAAATGGTAAAGCTTGGTCAGTTACTAAAAATAGCATGTCAAATATCATTGCATACAGGTATTTTTATTTCTGTTTATAGTTGTGTTCCTCTGAGATATTGGCCTAATTGACAAGATATCCGGTTTTAAAAATACAGCAGTATTATTGTGAATATGTGAAGAATATAATATTTAATGAGTATAAATTTTTTTTTTCCAGAGGGAGATAGGTTAAGTCCTGTAATATCAGATATCAAACTTGAAACTGACAGTGATTTTGGTTCAGTTGAGGACATTCCATCATTATTAGATACAAGGTACCAACCAAGGTCTGCATTGAGAGTGGCTTTGTCAGATTGGATGATAGAATTAAAGACTCCTCGTACACAACAGCATATGCCAGCTCCCTTGACAGCAGTATTACCAACTAATGTAGCAGCTATCTCCGAGTTGCAGAATGGAAGTATGGTGAATGTAGGTGGTGGAGACTCTTTCATGCAGCCAGTTATGCTTCCTATCAATAATAGTTTGTTATCTACAGGTCCGGAAGCTGCATCAGACTCGGAGTCTGATACATCTGTTGAATTAGAACCAATGGACTGTGTACCTTCTACTGCAAATTTGTCAACTACCTCAGAAGAATGGGCAATTGATGGTAAAATGACTGTAGAACCAGAGATCCGAATGGAGGAATTCACATGTGATGATATTCAGATGATTGTTGACTTCTTTTTCTTGCCTTTTGAACATGGAATTAAGAGCTCACAGTTGCTGGATGATTTGCATTGGTTGAAGTCAAATTCTCATTTGGTGATGGAAAAGAAGGACCAAACACCAGAGGTAATTGTGTTTGATTTTCTATGGCAATTTTCTAGCATTTATGGGTGGGTTGACAGAGTTCAATATCTAGGAAAATGAAAAATGTCTAGAACCATTTATCATATAGTTCTTGTCCTTGAAATTAAAATTATTGCAATCAACTTTTGTCGGACCTGTCTGATGTCTGTATCTTGTGATACTTTGAATTGTGAGACCAGGCAAGCTGAACAGACTAAGCATGTAACTTCTTGTCTTAATTGGTGTGTATCCAAAAAAATAGTCATTTAGTACTTCTATTTAATTTGATGTCTGAAAATTGTGCAGCTGTTCCAGATGTAACATCTTGATCATTCACAGACTTCGATGCTGGTTGGTTCACTGCAATTTGTAATGAAAAAACTGTTTAAAATTTTTTTTTTTTTTTAAGATGGAAGAATGGGTGACTAAAGCTACCAGTTTTACAGACACTGTGAAGAAGTTGCGTGCAGTATCTAAAAGACTTGTAGAGTTACCAAACATATCTGCCGTCCAAGAGTTATTTCCATATGCATGGGACTTGCTTGGAATATTGGAGACTTGTAGTGGCTATGTTTCTTGGTTAGGTAGGTTCATTTTATATCTGAAAATGTTCTGGTACTAGCTTAAAAGTTATATTGTAAATATATTATTAGTTGATAATAAATTTGGAAAAGTAACACACATGTTCTGTATATACAATACTCTGATTAAAGGCATGTTATTTTGCAGTTTCATTCAGAGAATGATAAATACGATATTAAATAATTTTTTAACCTTCCACTTTGTCATTGTATGATTTTAACTAAAAAGTCCTAAATTTATAATTGTACATCATCTATTTTTTAATTTTCAGTCTGAATATTCATGCAAAGATTAAAAAAAAAAAAGACTTTTTAACAGTAAAAACATAAATTTCATTTTAAATTCTATACTTGTCTATTTAGAAGACAAATATGATTAGAAACAAAATCTTAAAAGATTTGAGCAGATTTCGTTCACTGATAGAAAATAAATCTCTCTTTTTTGCAGGCAAAGGTTGTGCTAATGCAAATGGGCTTCAGCAACAGGCATTATTGGCGGGTCAGACATGTAAGAATTGATTTACATTTGATATTGATTAACAGCTGTGCCATGGCTTCAAATGTTGTGCAACGTTCTGTTTCTGAACTTATGTTTTCAGGGTTCATACCGTTTCTCATAATCAGTTATCTTTTTTTTTTATGTTGAGACTTGTACATGTATTTTAAAGCAAAATCTTGAATTAAAAGCTTTAAATTTTTGCCTATAAAACCCTGTTTGAGTACTATACATCATAACCTGCACAGTATGGAGCTTTGCTGTATCATACTTAATCTGAAGTGGATGGAAAATTTGTCTATTATTTATCATTGAGACAATCGCTGGGAACCCTGGTATCTAGTGGTAGCATAATGTGTATGAACCCTGTTATTTGTAGTATTAATTTCAGAACATGTATAGTCATAAAGAGCAGTATTCAATTGTTCAAGAGCAACTAATCAACATAAACTGTGTTTATATATGAATAGCAAGTAATCAAGTATTATCTGGATTCCCCAGCTTTATGTAGCTTAGTCTACTCTTCAAATTCATCTAAACAAATATATGAATAAATCAACACTGAAAAAAAGGTGTAAAACTACTAGATTAGATGTTCTTGATTGTTTGGATATTTCTTTTTGAATGACATTGTAATATATATATATAATTATAATTGATAAGTTCAGAAAATTGTTGTACAGACATTTTGAAATATGATTCCCTTTCCAAATGCATATTTGGGATCATTAAGTAGATGTTTCATGAAAGATTTAATACTCATACAAGATAGATATAAATGGCATAGCTGTTTATTGTGAGTTTTTTTTTTTTAATTTTAGACCATTGTTCTTTTAGGCTAAATGAAGTAAAGATAGTTGATTAAAATGAAATATTATATTTTTTAAAAAGTGATAAAGTATTTCTATTTTAAATACCACAATCTAAACTTAACTACTACATTATCTTCAGAGCTTGCAGCAGCATGGTCTGCTTAGTCTACCAAAGTACTAATCTTTCTCCCTTATTTTCTTTTTTTGCGAATATTAGGGAGCTCACATGGTTATAAGGAGGCCTTTATGAGTGGCGACCAAGAACCATGGGTTTTTCGAGGTGGTGTTCAAGGAGAACTTCAAGTATGTATAACAGGCAATCCACGATCCTCTAATGCAAGCCTGTGGTTCATTTGTCTGTAAATGGGTATAGAAGTGATATATAATCAATGAAAATATTTAGCCAGCCATTTTGACAGCGCATGCTTAGCCATCTCAAGTCTTTTTTCCAGGTTGCGCAGCGTTAGTGCAGGTAGAACTGATTTTTATGTACTTCACTGTGCTTCAAGTTGACAGGTAGATCTACATTCAGATAAATGTAGGCTTGCTCAGAAAGAGCAGGACCTTCAACTTGAATCACATTGAGAAATTCTTTTCAACATTTTGCCATTGGGTTAACAAAATTGGGTGTTTTAACAATTCCATATTGAAGGTAGTGTAAATTTAAATTTTAATACAAGTTTTTCAGCCCTTTGTAAATGACAAATGTGAGATGTATTAATCACTTCAGATTAAGTAAATGTTTCCAGCAAACTAAATGTGATAAATGTTTTGCTTTTTAATGATGTGCATTACTTCAAGATTGTTAACTTAACTTGTTCTTCATTCTCAAGTGGTTGTACATGGTAAAGTCAGTTCTATCTGCCATTAATAATATTCTTTATTTCAGGTTAGCGCCAAATAATGGGCCTTTGATTTGAAGGCCAAGAATGTGCATGTGTTTCGCATGACTTGTTTGTTATACTTCGAAAGACAGAAAATATATACATTGGTCCAAGGAACAAAGATTGGTTCAACAAAAAAATAAAGTTCAATCATTTCATGTAGCAAGAAAAATCCTTTTAGAACCAATCTTTGTCAGAATGATCATTTTTTAAACAAGGTCTTTGAAGCATATGCACATTCTGACAATTAAAACTTGAAACTTGAGATGGCAACATGTGCAGTCATTTTGACAGCTTTAGGAACTTGTATTGAGAAAAAAAAATACATACAGATAATTTTTAAATCTTGAAAGAGCAAATATCTTGAAAGAAATAAAATTAAAAAATATCTTTGGACAATTAAGATGTGTAGAAAATTTTATTGCTGTCAGCTTGTCTGCGCTTGCGTCAAAAAGGAAAGACTTAAGCAAGGTTTTTATTCAGGCGAGAACCATTAAGAATTTTTTTCTTGTACAAGAAAAAAATTTCACACATACTTGAGGCAATTTTCTGCTGAACAAATTTACAGGGAAATTTGGGAAAAAATTAAGGGTGTTTAGTATGAAAACCTTGCTTTCGCCTGTCTTTCCTTGCGCTTTTGGTTTATCATGTATGAAGCTTACTTAACAAACATTGTGTGCTTTTTTCAGAAATTAATGCCAATTGATTTTGCACATGATCTGTTCCTTATTCGTGCTCCAGAAGTGGTGTTAAACAAGTTCTATCACTACAGACCTTACACGGCAGCAGATGAGGTAGGTTTATCTACAGATATTGTATTGAAGCTGTAGACGTGACCACAAAGGTTAACTCTTTGCTCATTCATCTCCAAGTTAGAAATATTACAAGTCTGGTGCACTTTAAAGGTTATCCATCTGGATATAGTAGCATTTTTTTTTGTCATTCAAAGGCATGTGGTATACTTTTGTATGTCTGTAGTGTAATGGAACACATTTGATTTGTGCTTGCTGAAATTGGTTTTTTTACAACAATTGTAAGCCAAAACTCTTGACTTCAACAGTTTGACAGTTGCCATAAGTTGTGACATTTTTACTTGGAAAGTGAACCATGAATGAGATTTATCACTACTGTACTTTCAGACTGTTTTATTGAAGTGACATGTCTTGTTGAAGAATTTTCCTGCTTATGATGCAGCTGGTATGGCATGGTAACTGTTGAGGAAAAATATTGAAATAGCCCCACCCCTATTTTATGCTCGCAATGTTGGGTGGTAATTAAGTTCAATTTCATGATTTCCTTGTTTTGTGATCATCTGTAATCCATTTCTCTTAACTAACTGAATTGAGACTATTTTATAAAAAATGTGTTGGTTTGGATGCACTGAAGTTATTAAAGAGGTTGTTTCAACTCTTTTAAGAATCATTACTGTTGTCTGACATGAAGCTGTTGGAACAAAGGGATCACTTTAGTTATCCTTTGTGTCACACTTGTTTATTTTTGCAAGTCATTGAAAACACTTACTGGTTTAGTTTTTAAAGGTGCCCCACTCATCTCACAATTATTTATGAAAAAGCCCTTGGCTTTGTAGGTTTCTTAGATTGAATACATTTGAGCATGGTGTATCTGCAATCCAGTAACATACAAATAGGATAAAAGGAATCACCAAAAATACTGGACATTACAACATATCACATCAACCACTAACAAGTCTTTGATTTCAGACAAACTTCAGTCTTTTCCAGATGTAATGCAAGTTTGCATAAAATATTTGGGTTATTTTTTTTTTGGATTCTCAAGATGAGATTTTAAATTATTAGGAATAGAGTTTTTAATTGACTTTGGCATAGTTTATCAGTGAGCTTAAAGATCACCTGGGTCAATATTTTTACTTTCTTTATCACCTTTCTGAGTCTTAATTGTTTGGTACACTATATCATTATGTGTTGCAGGCAGCAGTTTACAATATTTGTTTAAAGACATGTGATGATGGGATGGATGGTACTGAAGTTTTCCCAGGATATCCAGATCTTATTGGAGATAGGTATGTTTTATACTGTGAACAATTACATCATCCTATATTTGATGGAAAATAAACCTTTATAAGTTTTGTGCATCCAAGGAGTTTTCTTTATTTACCTTCGTCGGGAACACTTAAAAACTTGGAACATCGGAATCCAGACTAGTGAAAAGAATTTTATTGAGGACTAAATGATGTAAACAGACCTCAAAAGAAAATCCAATTTCATCTTGGGTCAACTTTGCCTGAGGGAGTTGGAACCATTTTCTAAACCATTTCCTAATTTACCAATGGAGAATTTCAGAAATGTATGTACTGAGCTGATGTTGCACCAGGGGACTAACATTCTAGCAGCAGATATATCGACACAAAGCTATTACAAGAAAATAACATATATATATTTCAACTGTAGCACTTTTCTTGATTAACTATGGGAATGCTCAAACAGAAACATTTGAATAACGAATACTCTTATGTTAAGCAGTCATTGTTGAATAACATCTGCCATGTTTAAAAAGTATAGCAAATTTATTTTTCTTTCATTTATTGTAGCTATTTTTTTTATTTTTTTTATCAACCTGTTATTGCCAAACCCCTATTGTTTAATAATCCACATGGGCCTGGAAGGTACTCCAGGCTTATGATCACTTATAACTTTTACCTGTGTTAACACCTGAATTAAAAATATATTGATAAAATTCTAACAACAAAATTCAGTATTTGATAATGTGGTAGTAAATGCTATCTAAAATTCGATTTTAAAAATCAGTTTCATTTCATTGACCTAGTAAAGAGTTTTTAACAAGTCAAAACATACCGCAAATTATGCATGCATGGAAATGTTAAGTTGTGCTCTGAAAATAGTTAACCACATGGTTTTCAATCATGAAGAAAAGGCTCACCATCCAATAAAGTAAGCCCAAGATCTACCTGAGCGAGTGAAATAAGACCAGGGCCAACACTTTTATATATTTTTATACATGCTCCCTCAGTAATGTAGCGTATTCAGTGTTATTTCTCTCTATAGGATTGTAGGAAGGACAGTTTCACAGAGTTCAGAATACTGCTTTGTTGTGGAGGATGATGAGGGAATATGTGGTTATGCTTGTGCTGCCCTTGATACAAAAGTGCTTCAACAAAAAAGTGCCCTCTCTTGGATGCCAGCTATGTGTGAAAAATATCCCAGAACCATCAAAGGGGAACAGTCTCCTGCAGATGTAAGTTTAATGAATGTAGTTCTATACAATGTTTTATTTTGTATATTCTGAGTAGTAATAATAGTGGTTATTTTTCAATAGCTATAGTTACTATCAAGATATACACAGGCTTATTATAAGGTTGAGCTTTTTATATGACCGCAAAAAATTTGCGTTCGTATATTGCTATGTTGTCGTCAGAAGACATTTGGTTTCCGGACAATAACTTTAGTATAAGTGAATGGATCTTTATCAAATTCAACCGTAATTAGGGGCAAAAAAGGGGGTGGGGAGAACAAGGTTTTTCTGATTAATGGACAATTACTTATGTATTTTAAGTATTAGTCTATGGATCTCTATGAAATTGAAACACAGGGTTCCATACCACAAAGGGAAGGTTGGGTTTGACTTTGGGGGTTATGGCTCATAAATTCAAATCATATAACCAATTCTAAGTTCTTTGACTACAGTGTGTCAGAACCCTATTATGTGTCAAATATTTAATTACAATCCAAATTCAGACCTGTATCAACAGCGAATATTGTGTCCATTTCTGCCCCAGCTGTTCAGGGTTGGACCTCTGCGGTCGTATCCAGCTGTGCTAGGCGAAGCAATTTATTATATTTGTATTAATTTGACTTTTCTGATACAGATAATTTCCTACTTTCATATTTATTAAAAATTGTATATTTGTAGCTTTTTCAATTAAAAAAGGTCATACTGATGCAAAAAGTCTGTTTTAAAATGTATTAATATATAACATCTTGAAGCTCATGGAAAAAAAATACTTTTTTTATTTTGTAAAGTGAATATTAGATCCAGAATGGATGTAAAATAAGTATTACTTTATATTATAGGAAGTCATATCCACTTTATATTATAGGAAGTCATATCCAGTTTTCATGGAGAACAGCATTTCGTTCCAGAATCAGTCCATAATTTGTATCCAGCATGTATACGCATTGACTTCATTCCCCCACGCGTTGTTGACCATTCTGTTCCCAAAAGGCTGTTGGCATGTGCTATGGCTGCCTTGAAAACAAATGGTGCTACAGGTATACATGTGGAAATGAACATTGGTGACAAATCTATGATCGATCATTACCAACGATTAGGATTCACACAACTCGCTGTCCCAGATAGCAAATCTGAAGATGTTGTGTATTTAGGGCGTATGATTTGTTTCAATAGAATTTTATAGGAACAAGCAATAAAGGTCGGCTACTGTGATAATATAACTTATTGACAAATGTGCAATGATGAACTTATTGAACCAAAACAAAAGACTGAAAAAATAAGAAGAAAGAAAAGGAAAAAGATCATGTTGAATATTTGATTGTAATTTTTTATATGTCAGTGTAATATTTTATTAATGTCCATTAAATGTCATTGTTAAATGTTCATTAAATATGATATGTATTATCATGACAGTCTTGTATTGACCATTCAGGGTTTTGTTAGAAACAAAATATTTCATTGTAATGTCTTTCATTTCATGTGATCACTAAATCTGTTAATTGTTATTACAATTAAAACTATCAAAATTAAATCCTATTTTGTTATTTTTCTCTGTTTTCCAAACATTTTTTAGAGACTGGTTGTGTAGTCTATGAGTAAAAGGTTAATAATTATGGAGAGGAATATAATGATGTATGGTTTAAAATCTGTAATTTCTTTCAAATTCTGGGTTAGCAATTTCCATATATCTCATATGGATTGCTCTTGTCCAATTGACCAAGCCAATCCCACAAATATCAAAGATAGGTCTGTCAGTCATTTGAGCAATCTCGACTACTATACTGTGCTGAGTAGAATATTTTTATTTTGTAGGTATCTTGTAAATCCAACCAAAATTAATCTAATCTATTGAAAACAAAACAAAATGCCACCACAAAGGGTAAACAAAGGAAGGCTGAAATAGCATATATTGAAAGTAAGTGTTGGATGCACAATTGAGCTTGAAGCATCATTTAAAGACGAGAATTACAAACTAGTTCATTGAAAACTTGAACGAGATATAAATGTTGTATTCTATTTTTTGTTCTCCCAAGGAAAAATGCCAGCCATAGTTGGAAGGAAAACTAAAACTCTTTAAAATAAATTTAACGCTTTTGTGAGCTTTTCCCCATCATTTGTCAACTTCTAAAAAACTACTGGGCCAAATTTAACCAAACTTTTGTCGCAATCATCATTGGGATATCTTAGTTTTTAATGAGCCGGATGACCCTGCCTACCACTCAAGATGGCACACATGGCTAAAAATGGACCATAGGGGTAAAATTAAAGTTCGCTTCAATATTTCCACTTACCTGCCTTCTTAACTAATTGCAATTTCCCTCTACTTCCCCATACGTTCGTTGAGTCCATGATACGACCGCAAAAAATTTGCGGTATATTGGTATCGCGTCGTCGTCCGAAGACATTTGGTTTCCGGACAATTACTTCAGTAAATGTAAATAGAAATTGATGAAATTTAAACACAAGGTTTATTACCACAAAAGGAAGGTTGGGATTGATTTTGGGGGTTATAGTCCGAACAGTTTAGGAATTAGGGGCCAAAAAGGGGTCCAAATAAGCATTTTCCTAGTTTCCAGACAATAACTTGTGGAACGGTGTATGGATCTCTCTGAAATTATACCACAAGTTTCAATACCACAAAGGAATGGTTAGGTTTGGCTTTGGGGGGCGGGTTATGGCTCAAACCGTTTAGGAATAAGGGGCTAAAAAGGGGGAAAAACATGGGTTTCCTTGTTAATGGACAATTTGAAAGCAGTGTAAGGGAGATAATCCAAACTCATTTAAAGTACAATGTTGTGTATGTTTGGATTACCTCCCTTACACTTCTTTTAAATAATGTAAAAAGAAATGTTGCAGTCTTGAGGGGATTAGCTGTCAATTTATGTCAAGATGAACACACTGGATGAGCACGATGAATGTTACAATAGTCATTCCCGTGCAAAATTTGTAAAAGGAGCATTGGAGTGTGATCATGAAAATGATTGAAAAAATTGAATGAACTGTCTTAACTCGCCTATGTAGACGGGTTGACAGATTTCAAAGACATAAGTCTACCTGTGGAGGCGGCAGTCAGAGCTTCAAATGACGACACTGTCACTGAAAATACACCTGAAATTGCACTTGTATGGTTGATATTTCGGCCATTGTATAAGAACAGGTGCAATTACAAATACAAAACTTATTCAAAAAGAAATTGATTGATATCAATGCTGATGTTCTTGAAGTTCAATCTCCTGAAAAGCATAGTTCTGCAACTTTGCGAAACCAAAGGCCACATTTTGACAAGTTCAAAAGCTATGACGATCAGATGTCTTTAATGTTGAATGTTGATCAAGATCAGGTTTCTTATCTTGATCCAGAAAAAAAGATTGATGATGGGTTTGCATCGCCACGATCTAGTCAAATGTATACATGCACCCCAGTCGAGGTACCACAAGGGGCACCTGGTGCTTCTGATCCAATTATTCATAAAATGGCAACAGTTCACAATATCGAACCTGAATCTTCAGAGGCTCAAGATCAGGAACGTCTTTCTTTTGTTTCGGCAAGATTAAAACCCGACAAGAATGATAAAAAAAAGCAATTAAATTGCCTTTGGAAGGTACAATTACTGCCATGGTAAAATCTGTAGAAAAGGAAGCTATCTCTGGTTATTTGAAAAACAGCTGTTCGTCGCAGGGATAAGGCTTTCATGGTTAAGAAAGATGATTTTAATGCTATCTGTAGTCCCAAGTTCTATGACAATATTTGAGAAGGGCTAGCTATTGGCCATAAAGGCAATTCTATTAAATCTGGAGTTAATATTCCACCCTTTCACAGAGAATTAGATAATTATAATGGACAAAATATGCCAGGGCACTTTTTAGAGTATTTTCATATGGTACTATGATTTCTGCTTTTTTGGATGAGGCAACTTGTAAAGATGATAGGATTGAAGCACGTAAAGCATTAATTAATTGCTTTAAAAGTATGGCTGATTTGTCAGGCAAAATCATGGCAAATTCAGTATCAAGTAGAAGGAAACTTTTTCTGAAAAATGTTTACTTCATTAGTTAGTCCACAGAACAGAAGTTGTTAAAGTTGCCAGTTTTTGGCAGTCAACTTTTTAATGGACAATACTTTGACACACTGCATACATCAGCAGAGAATTTACGGGATGCTAGAGAGACCCAGAATGTTTATAATAATGCTGGTAGTCATAACAAGAACTTTAAAAAGTCTAAAGATGATCGCACTCCTGTAAATGACTTTAACAGAAAGAGGAAAGGTGACTATTCTGACAATTCTGATCATGGAGCTAAACAAACACTTATTCCAACAAAGATATAATTTTCGTGCAGGAAATTTTTCAAGGTAAGGAAATTTTTGTCGGAAAGCAGAGGGAGCCCAAAAGGTTCCCCAGCTCCAAGGAAGTAAGTTTAAAGAACCTTGTACAAACTGTATACTAGTATATAAGTCCCCAGATAGGGGCACATTTGCTAATGTTTCACAGGAAGTGGACAAAGATCACAGGAGATCAATGGGTTTTAGAAACTACTAGAAGGACTAAAACTGGAGTTCATGAGTCATCCATGTTTAAACATAAAAGAAACAAGTGTTCCAAGATATGGTACTCGCGAGTATTTTAACAGAAATAAGTGTTTTATTAGAAAAAAATGTTATAGAGCATATTCCTGTTGGGCAAGAAAACTTGGGTTTTTACAGCACAGTTTTCGTAGTTCCGAAACGACAAGGAGGTCTGCGACCGATTCTCAATCTGAAACCTCTAAATCAATTATTAGTGCCTCATCATTTCAAAATGGAAACTCTCCGTTCAATTATGAAAGCTTTAAAAAAGGGAGACTATGCAGTAACTTTGGATTTAACAGATGCATATTTTGTTATTCCAATTCACACAGATTTAAAACAATTCCTGAGATTCCGATTTCTGATACTAGTACCAATTTCGAGCAATACCATTCTGGCTCAAATCTGCCCCAAGAGTGTTCACAAAGATCATGGCTGTATTGGCAGCATACCTAAGAAAGTTAATGATTCAGATATTCATGTATCTAGACGATTGGCTGATCAGCAATTCAGTCAGAACAGCTCTTGTAAATCAAATGGATTTCGTACTCCGTTTAGTTCAAGATTTGGGACTTCTGGTAAATAAAAAAAAGTCAAACTTAATACAAACCCAACTTATAGAATACTTGGGAGTCCTATTCAATCTAGAGAAAGGGATAGTAACACCAACAGAGACAAGATTTCAAAGTATTTTGGAAATAATACATGCATTACTAAACAGTCAACAGATTCAAGCAGTAGTAATTTTAAAATTACTAGGTCTAATGGCTTCATGCATTTACCTAATATCCATGTGCAGATTACACATGAGGCCAATCCAACTTTATTTGTTAGCACTATGGAAGCCAAACATCCAGCAATTGAATCAGTTCATTCCTGTACGAATGAGCTCGACAGTACATTTAAAATTTAAAATTTGCAACAGCTCAAAACAAAAAGTTGGCAGTTAATTGCTCTGCGGTTCAAGACATAGCAGCATTTCAAGTAGATGCTCTAACTGTAAATTGGATCGGCATGTATGCATATGCATTTCCTCTTCCAATTAAATTCTAATTCGTAAACTCAAACGAACATAAAATATTTATCAAATAACCACAAACTCTTACATAAGAGACGCCACTTGCAGAGACAAGCGCACATTTTATTATAAAAATGAGTATAATATTGTGGAAAGTTCATATAAATACACAGGTATTAGGCAGCTTGTTCATGTACTGGTTTCCCCATACTAGTGGTCTACAAATCTGAAAATAAATAATATAATTAATAATATTATTTATTAGGCAAAATGCTACTGTACACTTTGACTGCAATGGCTCGAATGACTTTAAACCACCCGAGTTCACTCGTGCATGAACTCAATATCCCAATCCAACCGACCTTACTATAATTAACCAAACACTAGTCAACTATAAACAAACAACATTTTTACATGTTCGATTTTTGTACAACTTTGATAAATACATTTCTTGTTCCTCGGATATTACAAAAGATTAGAGAAGAAAAGACAGTTGTTCTTCTAATAGCACCAATGTGGCCAAGACAATCTTGGTATCCTCAGATGTTGGATCTACTGATAGATATTCCAATAAAACAACATCTTTTGCCAGGTCTGCTTTCACAAATTCACAATCGAATACAAATATTTCATCAGAGTCCAGAAACATTGAATCTTGTGGCATGGAAATTATCAAATTGCGCCATAAGTCAAAAGGATTTTCTGAAAAACTGCAGAAATTATGGCATATGCCAGAAAAACATCTACTCAAACAGTGTATGATGCAAGACTCAGAATATATGACAGTTGGTGTAAAGAACACTATATCAATTCCACTTCTTCAACTTTACCAGAAGTAGCAGAATTTTTGTTATATCTTTCTACTGTAAGAAAATGCAAACCACAGACTATTACAGGTTTCAAGTCAGCCATAGCATTGATTCATAACAATTGATTAGAAATTTCAA